CTAGAAGTGAAGTGGTTTAGCCAGTGCAATTTTCTGAATCAGCACCCCAAATAAACCAAATCAAATCTAAAGTTGACCAAAAACTGATTCGTAATCCTTTTGGTACTAATGTTGGAGGGTGGTCCCTGGTCAAAAAAGGTTGGGAACCACTGCTCTAAAGCAATATTAGAGTGGCAGAAAAGAAGCAGTTGGCTCAGCTCAAACGGGGCAGCCCCATTGTTAGAAAGCATGAGAACCATTTAGGCAACTCATTTGGATTTACTATTTATGATTGTATTCTCACTGCCAAGAATAAGGACAGATGTTTATAAAAGAAGGACTGAAACACTATGGAGAGAGATGGGGAGTGTGTGTGGGTGGGTGGTGGGAGAGAACGGATCTACATTGTTAATTACAGCAATAATATGTTTCATGCTTATCTCTATGTTTGATGTTTTTATAGTTTTAATGGCTATTATCTACAGTTATATGTTATTGATTTAGATATGTGATATTTTTATATATGTGTGAGGCACTGAATTTGCCATTTATTATGTTGTCAACCACTTTGAGTCCCCCCAGGGGTGAGAAAAGCAGTATAGAAATACAGTTAATAAATAAATAAATAAATAAATAAATAAATAAATAATTTTCTGTTTCATGAGTAATGAAGGTTGGTTGGCATTGGGTAGATGGGTACCATGCATCTGGGTCTTTTTCACACCCCATTATCCTGCACTGCGATAAAACTATGATTTGATTTTAAGGGACATAACAGCATACTGTGGGGTTTGCAGTAGAAGGAAGGGCATTCAAAATTCTTAGCTGAAGAGATCTGCTGGGCCTCAACAAACTATGAGGAGTGTTTACATCAGATGGGGACTTTGGAGTTCATAAAATAAAAGAACAAATTTCAAAGAGTGAGGACTTTTTCAGCATACTCCGCTGCTACGTTGACACACACATCCCACTGTAACTAACGCCTGGAAAGCTTTGGCATAGAAAGATTTGTCTGTACACCTGAACCATCCTAGGACAGCCTGCTTCATTTTGTCATCAATTCTGAAATGCTGATCCCCAAGGAACTCTTTTGCTAAGCTGTCTTGGAACACAGTGTGTACTAACTTTTTAAAAATGCAAATATTCATGAATTATTGTGGTCATAAAGATTTGTCTCTTGTGCAATTTTATGACAGGCTATGCCTCAATTATCCAGGACCAGGTGTTCCATGTGCTGAATGATCACAAAAGCAACTGCTGTGGGCTGGGATCGTCATTGAAGGACATGTAGCCCTTGCTGAAATGTTTACACCATTCAAATGTATCACTGTGTCTAGGCATCTCATTATCATATTGTGCTTGAAGTCTTTAGTCGATATTTTTGGGTTATATGCCTTTGTGCACAAGAAATTTCATCACCATACGTTGTTCCATACACTAGCTAACACTATGAACCAGTGCGTACCTTGAGATCCTCTGGGGAGGCACTGCTCTCTCTCCCCCCGTCGTCACATGCATGGTTGATGGGGACGAGGGAGAGAGCCTTCTCGGTGGTGGCCCCCCGGCTCTGGAACTCCCTCCCTAGGGAGATCAGACAGGCTCCCACCTTGTCCTCCTTTTGTAATCAACTAAAAACCTGGATGTTCTGGTGCACTTTTGACTAAGCAGCTCACCAGTAATTTTCTTGTCCCTACTTGAAGTCCCGCACTTTACACTGGCATACGTTCTACCTCAACAGGTGTTATGACAGTATTTCCTGCCCAGTTTACTGTATTGTTGCATTTTCCTGCGCTTCTGTAAAAATGTATTGCACTTATCGAATCTGTACCTCAGCTATGTTTCTTTCAGCCGTTTTTATATTGCTTTCAATTGTGTTGTTATTTGTTTTATCTGATGTCTTAATTGGTTAAAGTGTTTTACATGTGTGTTTTAATTGTAATCTTGGGTGTGTCCCTTGTAAGTCGCCCCGAGTCCCCTAGGGGAGATGGTTGGCGGGGTATAAAAATAAAGTTATTATTATTATTATTATTATTATTATTATTATTATTATTATTATTATTATTAGAAACATAACAAGATGAGTCCACAGCAGACACTCTGCTGGCTGTTGTATTGGATCACACGTGGACACTTCCCAAGTGTCTAGGACTGTGTGATGTATCGGCAAATATGTGCAGATCCCAGTAAGGTGGCCTTCTGCAGCTGGCAGATGGTAATTTTGTCAGCGCCGATTGTGTTTAAGTGCAGGCCAAGGTCTTTAGGCACTACACCCAGTGTGCCGATCACCGCTGGGACCACCTTTACTGGTTTGTGCCAGAGTCTTTGCAGTTCGATTTTTAAATCCTCATATCGTGTCAGCTTTTCCAGTTGTTTCTCTGCAATCCTGCTGTCACCTGGGATTGCAACATCAAGCATCCATACTTTGTTTTTTAACACGATTGTGAGGTCTGGAGTATTATGCTCCAAAACTCTGTCTGAATCCGGAAGTCCCAGAGGAATTTGGTGTGTTCATTCTCTGTAACTTTTTCCAGCTTGTGATCCCACCAGTTCTTTGTCGCAGGCAGATGGTATTTGTGACACAAGTTCCAATGAATTAATATAATTATTGTTATTATTATTGTCTGCCATTTGATTAACAGTCTACGAACTGGCCCACAACATTAATAGGACACACTAGCATGATGGTCCGTTCCAGTCCTGGTTTAATTCGAACAGCCCTCATACATATCTCAGGATTCCAAACGATGCGGCTGTGGGAGGTGAAGATGTCTCTCTGTGTACTGTCAGCTCTCCATTATCCATCCACATGCATAGATCGAATATATATATATATATATTCCCCAAAGTTCTTGATTTTGCCATGGATTTAGGTATTTACAGGGTGCAGATGCAGACTGCAGCCAGGAAATCAGAAGGTGTTTACTTCTTAGGAGGAGAGCAATGACCGATCTCGATAAAATAGTGAAGAGTAGAGACATCACACTGGCAATGTAGATCCACATAGTTAAAGCAATGGTATTCCCTGTAGTAACCTATGGTTGTGAGAGCTGGACCATAAGGAAGGCTGAGTGAAGGAAGAGAGACACTTTTGAACTGTGGTGTTGGAGGAAAATTATGAGAGTGCCTTGGACTGCAAGAAGATCCAACCAGTCCATACTTCAGGATAAAGCCCGGCTGCTCACTGGAGGGAAGGATATTAGAGGCAAAGATGAAGTACTCTGGCCACATGAGAAAGTTTGGAGAAGAGAATGATGCTAGGAAAAATGGTGCTGGACTTCAAAGTGATAGCTCCTCCATTGCAGGATTACCTACCCTTGTCTTAGGATTTTTCTATGAATGCAACCAAGGAAGCAAGCAAGTAATAATGTCCAATTATAAAGTTCCATTGGGAGCCATTCAGTCTTCTAGATGTTGTTGAACTATAATTCCAAACATTCCTCACCATCAGTTTGAAGCCCAGATCGGGGTGAGCTCCTGGCCTTTAGCCCAGCTTCTGCCTACCTAGCAGATTCAAAAACAGCAATGTGAGTAGATAAATCAGTGCAGCTTTATGTGGGAGGTATGTAAGGCACCCATAAGGAAATGCCAGAAAAATGCCAGCAATTAAATCAAGGACGAAGGTTACGAACAAAAGGGTAAAAGATAAATACTGCAAATAAATAAATAAATAAATAAATAAATGCTAGATATGGCTGAGGGGATTTGCAGTCTAACAACATTCGGAGGGCTGCACAATTCCAAATTCTGCGAAAACATCCATAAGACAATATGCCTCAATTTTCAGATGCCACTTTGGCTTTCATTTCCACCATTTCATTTATATACTGCTTTGCAGAAGTGTTCCCTCCCTTTGACCGTTCCACATTTTTAGTGGTATGGAAGTGAAACTTCTAGACTAGCCCTGGATGTATGCATGACCCACAACACTGTGCAGGTGCAAAGTGTTTTTACTGCAAAGTAAACATTAGGTTAACAAAGAAATTGGCATTTGTTCCTTTTAAATCTCTCTTCTCTTCCACAGAGCAAGAGAAACAGGATTTTAAAAGTTTTTCATGTTTTGCATTCAGTGCCCGAATACTATCTTTTCCCATGTTTGTGCAGTTAAACAGGGGAGAATAAAAGACCACGTGGATACTGAAATAGAAAAGTAAGCTTGGTAACCAGTTCCCAAAGTGGTGTGTGGTGGAGGGAAATGGTTTGTTTGGAGAGGCATTGAAAGAAACATGTAATTGTTGTTCCATTTTGAACACATGCAAATTATTATTATTATTTTTGCACAGGATGCAAACGAACCTTCTTTTGGAACACGCAGTTTTAAACATGCAAAACCTATTTGGCACTTACATGACCTAAAACAATGGTAAACATTTCCACCACAAGCACTTTCACACCACACATATAGAGTGGTGTTTCCTATCCACTGTTATATGGTAATGTCATTCTATGGAAACCTGAGGTTTGGTGTTGGGTGAGGAACAACAGTTTCATGCAGAGAATAGTAAACACTCTCCTTTAAACTCAAATCCAAGAATTCTATGCAATTTGCCATGACATTAAAATGGCATTAAAACTGCTGAGCTGCTGAACTTATTGACCGCAAAGTTGGCATTTTGAATCCAGGGAGTGTGGTGAGCTCTAGCTGTTAGCCTCAGCTTCTGCCAACGTAGCAGTTCGAAAACATGCAAATGTGAGTAGATCAATAGGTACCTCTCTGGCAGGAAGGTAATGGTGCTCCATACAGTCAAATTGCACACCTCTACCTGATGGCAAGAGCTGTTAGAGCAATGCACTGCCTTGGAGAAGAATCTCCTTCTCTAGAGGTTTTTTTTAAAATCCAAAAAGTGGAATGACCCAATTATGTGCATGGCAGAATAGGGTTGGTTTGGATAGCCCTTTTGAGTCTCCTCCAAGAGTATAATTTTATGATTGTAGGTAAAAAGGATCACTATCCAAAGTTCTTCCTTGCTGCAGATCAGAATAAAATCTTTTAAGACATCACTGTACTGAAACGCAGACACAAGTAATCAAGAATGATTTAATGATTAAGACACAAAACATTAATAATGCAATTTTTTCAGACAAGCTAGAGGTGTTTTTTTATTTTAGCACACATTTAGACAGCATACTTTGAATGGTGAAGCTGCTGTATGAAATATGTAAAGACTTTGCTAATCAGTACCTAGAAACCAAGACACATACACACAAACTTTGAGCGCATTTTAAAAAAAGCACGGAGGCACACACATAGAAAGGAAACTGGTGCTGTCTCTCATTTCAAAAAGAAGCAAATTTTTAAAAATCAGCAAGGCTAAAGAGGGAAAACTTTCCAGTTCCCCCAAATCAAATGTGCAAAACCATGGTAAAATTGATATTTATCTAAATATCAAATCGTAATTAATAGATTAAACTGGGGCATATGAACAATAGGATGGTTTGACACAAATGAAGTACATTGGACTAACATGTTAATAGGCTAAAACTCCATCCCATTACACAGTGTATCTGTTAACTGACGCCTGCTTTGCAATGGATTTATGTGTGATTTTACAGTTAACAGTAATTTCAACAAGCATTTCTACATAAATCTTAGACAAGGTAAGAAGTATAGGTGAGATAGACACTAAGAGAACGGAAACTCATTACCAACACGTTTACAAGGCTTCTCTGTGTAACAGTATGGTCCAAACACATCTCCCTTCCAGGCTATGGCAATCCACGGTTTGTTATAGGCACATTTTTAAAGTCAATGCATTGGACCAAAGGGCTGCTTGAGTGAGTGAAAGCTATTTCTGTTTGCATTGGGACAGGTCCCTGAATTCTCCCTTCTTAGCTCCTTTTTACCCGCCTGACTCACACCATGTGCTGTGAAAGGGTTAGTCCTCTTATTTTGGGGGTCAATTTTTCAGGGTTGAAGAGAGCAGCAGAGGGAGGGCTCTGCCACTGGAATTACACTCCGTGTTTTTGAGATCCAACCCGATGCTTGCTATAGGAATAGCCACAAAAATGCCAACTTAAATACTAAAAAAGCCAAATACCAAAAATTACCCTGCAATCACTTTTTAAGATTTGGTCAAACATCTCAGTTAGTTTGGAAAATGCAGGCCCATCACAACACTGGCCACTTATACTGCTTTGCATTGTGTCTGACAAGTTTCACCCTGGGAATGTTTCTTTGAAAACTAACAATGAAAACAGTGTGTGTGTTACACCAGCTGCATCTTCTACCCAGCTACTTTCTTAAATAGTAGGGTTTTGTCTGTGTCAGGAGTGACTTGAGAAACTGCAAGTCGCTTTTGGTGTGAGAGAATTGTCCATCTGCAAGGATGTTGCCCAGGGGACGCCCAGATGTTTTACCATCCTGTGGGAGGCTTCTCTCATGTCCCCGCATGAGCTGGAGATGATAGATGGGAGCTCACCTTGTTCCCTGGATTCGACCAGCCGACCTTTAGGTCAGCAGTCCTGCCAGCAAAAGGGTTTAACCCACTGCGCCATGGAGGGCTCCATCAAATGGTAGGTGACTCAAAACAACAGACCAAGGCTGATTCATCTCACATTGTGTTGACATTTTTAGAAAGGAATGCTGTAAATTTCAAGTACCAAGTTGTGAACGCCAATTGAAAGGAAGTAATAGTTCATGGCCACTTTCTTCTTCCCTCTACCTTCTCTCTCATCCAATCTTCCCAATCCTGGCACGTACCAGAAGTGGTGCTTGATTAATGTTGTGCTGGCTGGACACTGTGGAGACTGTAGTCCAAATACACCCAGAGGCTACCAATTTGGGCATGGTTGCTCCAGTGTTTGGAGAGCTGGCATCCTGATTCTACATTTTAAGTGCCAATTTAATGAACATTAAAACTTGATCAAGTTTTAAAAAAACTGCTTCGGATTTGTGATAAACAGAACTTTAAAAAAAGGTACCACACATGATTTGATAGTTCTTCCATTTCAAGTCTCGGCAGAAATAAAAGATCTTTCTTTTTCAATGGTCATTACATTTCATAAACCAGTTGCTTGTAGTAGACTCAGGCCTTGAGGTTTCCACCATTCCAGGTTTCATGGTAGCTTCCTAACATGACAACAAATGCACACAGTGCATCTGAATGAATCATAAAAGAACTAGACAATGGATGTGGCCCCTCAACCGTCCATTACATACTTGGAATCTCCAAATACAGAACACACATAGACTACATCCATGATCAACAGTGTACACAAAGTATCTGCAAGTGAAGGTGCAGTCTTATCCAAATATCCACTGTGGGCATTTCCTCTCTGCCACTTATGAACATTTTGAAGATAGGAAACCTAATATGAACATACATATGCACCTTTCACAACCAAAAGTACAATTGTGTGATTTGATATTTGGGGATCTGTACCACATTCTAATCTGTCTTCCATAAGAAAGTGCTCCCTAATATGAAGTGAAACATTTCCATACACTTGCAAAACAGTTGTTTTTTGTTTTTTTTAAGTTTTTGGGCCCTGCTTTTATTTTAATTTAAGGCATGTGTGTTTTAAACTACTGGAAAAATAAAAATAAAAAACCGAACTTCATTGGTACAAATTACAATCACATGCATTATCTACAGTTAAAAAATATGAGTTTGGATTACAGTTCTGAAATAGTGAATTCAGCACCTATCTTATAGACTAGTAAGGCAACAGCAGTGTCTCTATATATACATATACATACATAAATATATGTATATATGATATATATATATATATACTACAATAATACTCCCTTCCACAGTTTATCCCTGGGTATGTGACCCCCTCAGTATGATCAACATCATCAACTTTAGCCTATGGAGAGTTTCTAGGATGTTTTGCACTGGTTAAAGTCCTACATAAATCAACACTATTCTAGGCAGGAATAGTTACAGTAGCTGTCAAGAGTTATCAGTGCACAACACATATTGTGCTTACAATCAGATGATTTGTTGTTTGTTGTTGTTTTTGCCCAGAATGTCAAAAGGGTTTCTCAGTTTGGTCTTCAATCCTTTCTTTGTTTTCTCTGCTTCACATTGTTCTCGAGGGAAGAAAAGCTATTTGTGTACCCGTTCACAGCCGCGGACCCATTCTGATACTCTTTCCTTCTGGAGGGTGCCTTCTTGTTATAAGTCTAAAACACACACAGAAGTCAGCAGTGAGTTTTTCTTTTACTTCAGCAATAAAAAGAAAGAAGCACATTAGCTAATGCAACAAGTATTACTGAACAGACATTCATCATCCCTACATGTTGATGAAAAATTATGCTGATCAGAACTAATTCAGAAAGAGCGGTGAAAGACTATAGCTAAGTTCACAAACTATTGTTTGCACAAATCACAGTTTCCTGACCCTGAGTGAACCAAGAAACTCTGGCTTATGGCCAACTAGAAACAAAATATTATTCCTGGTCCCTCCCTTATTTATTTATTTATTTATTTATTTATTTATTTATTTACAGTATTTATATTCCACACTTCTCACTCTGAAGGGGACTCACATAATACATGTATGGCAAACATTTAATGTCATTATACACTGACAAGACAGACAACTGTACATAGATAGAAGTATATATAGACTTTCTCATCTTCGGCATCTTGGAGACTATGCTTGGTTCTGGCCACGGGGATGTGTGGGGTTGTCACTCCACTTTCCCTGCCAAAGAACTTTGTTCGTAAACTTCCTCCTTGAGTGAATCGCTAGCATTTTTCTGGCATTTTTCTGGGTGCCTTAAATACCTCCCCACTTAGGTAAAGGTATAGGTCGTGATTTTCCCCTGACATGAAGTCCAGTCGTGTCCAACTCTGGGGGTTGGTACTCATCTCCATTTCTAAGCCAAAGAGCCGGCGTTGTCCATAGACACCTCCAAGGTCATGTGGCTGGCATGACTGCATGGAACACCACTATCTTCCTGCCAAAGCAGTACCTATTAATCTACTCACATTTGCATATTTTTGAACTGCTAGGTTGGCAGAAGCTGGGGCTATCAGCGAGAGCTCATGCTGCTCCCTGGATTCGAACCTGTGACCTTTTGGTCAGCAAGTTCAGCAGCTCAACACTTTAACCACTGTGCCACCGGGGACTCCTCCCTGCTTAAGTGGTACCTATTTATCTACTCACATTGCTGTTTTTGAAACTGTTAGGTAGGCAGAAGATATCTCTTTGTTCTTAGTTTTTCAAACAATACTTTGTGAAGCTATCTGAATAAAACCCAGTAGTGTGTAAGACAGCTGAATGTGGTTCAAGAACCTCTCTCCCTTTCTTTTGCTGGTATTGGCTGTGTCCCATTGTCCAGTAGAACAGATAAGCGGTATTTTGGAAAAGAGTACATTGCCCTTTACTATACTCAGTTCTATTCATATGGATGGAAAATGAGAGCAAATGAGTTGTATTGGTTAAACATGCTAGACTGGGATTCGATCTCATTTGCTTTTTGAGATTCAGTATGACCCCTGTATCTATGGGATCCATTATGTCACTTACTATCGTACAAATAAATATGTTATCTCAAGGGATTTGATTGGTCCTTCAGTATGAGCCTATCATACATTTTCACTGCAAATTGACCATAGAGTTATGCTAGAAAACCAAGAAATGCTAGAGCAGTGATCTCTTAGGCATTTTCTAATGGAGCCACTCATCCTTTAAACTGTATAAATTGCATTAAAATATGACTCAGTACCATGGCACAGCAGATGCCTCTATGTCATATCAAATCATGACTCAGTTGTTGTCAATTAACATAGAATCATAGAATCACAAAGTTGGTTGAGACCTCATGGGCCATTCAGTCCAATCCCTGCCAAGAAGCAGGAAAATTGCATTCAAAGCAGCCTCAACAGATGGCCATCCAGCCTCCAAAGAAGGAACATCCACTACACTCCGGGGCAGAGAGTCCCACTGCTGAACAGCTCTCACAGTCAGGAAGTTCTTCCTAATTTTCAGGTGGAATCTCTTTTCCTGCAGTTTGAGGCCATTGCTCCATGTCCCAGTCTCCAGGGCAGAAGAAAACAAGCTCACTCCTTCCTCCCTATGACTTCCCCTCACATCTTTATACATGGCCCTCAATTCATCATGTCTCCTCTCAGCCTTCTCTTCTGCAGGCTAAACATGCTCAGTTCTTTAAGCCACTCCTCATAGGGCTTGTTCTCCAGACCCTTGATCATTTTAGTCGCCCTTCTCTCAACACATTCCAGCTTAGTCAACATCTCCCTAAAATTGCGGTGCCCAGAGTTGGACACAATATTCCAGATGTGGTCTGACCAAGGTAAAATAGAGGGGTGAGTTCCCTGGATTAGGACACTATACTTCTATTTATGCAGGCCAACATCCCATTGGCTTTTTTTTTTTGTTGCTGCATGACAATGTTGGCTCATGTTGAACTTCTTTTCCACRAGGACTCCAAGATCTTTTTCACACGAACTGCTCTTGTACCACACGTCTCCCATTCTGTATCTTTGCATTTTGTTTTTTTTTTTTTGGCCTAAGTGGAGGATCTTGCAGTTGTCCCTGTTGAATTTCATTTCAGATCATTTTGAATTCTGCTCCTGTCCTCTGGAGTATTGGCTCTCCCTCCCAATTTGGTGTCGTCTGCAAACTTAATGATCATGCCTTTTAACCCTTCCTCATGAGGCAAAGGGAGTAGAGCCTGATTTGTCTTCCAAGATTGGTAATTGCTCAACACAATGAAACTACAAAATTAATGTTTGGGGTATAGTGAAAATGTCTTGTGTCAATAAGTTAAAGATTTAAGAAATGGATTTTGATATATCAGCTTTCCAGTCATTAAAAAAATAACAGTAACAGCATCATCACCACTACCATAAGGAGCAAAAATAATTTACCTGAATATAGAAATTTGTGAAAAGGATAATTAAGGAGATCATGTAGCCTATCTGGAAATACAACCATCCCATTGGAAATCGACATGGCCAAATAACTCCACAGCTTGTCTGGAAGATTGTCAGGACAAATTGAGTCTACAAGCAAGGAAGAAAGGAGAGGGAAAAGTCACTTTAAGTGAGAGAAGAGATACACAATAAGCAAGCACATTTCATCCGTTTGCTGTGAAGGATGAATACCAAGATAGCCTTTTCCAATTGGCTCCCCCATGGAATGTTATGGATCACCTGTTGCACTATGGAGCCATGGTGGCACAATGAGTTAAACCCTTGTGCCAGCTGAACTGCTGACCTGAAGGTCAGCGGTTTGAATCCAGGGAGAAAAGTGAGCTCCCGTCTGTCACCTCCAGCTTCCCATGCAGGGACATGAGAGAAGCCGCCCACAGGATGGTAAAACATCCAGGCGTCGCCTGGGCAACGTCTCTGCAGATGGCCAATTCTCTCTCACACTAGAAACAATTTGCAGTTTTTCAAGTTGCTTCTGACACGATTTTAAAAAAAAACACCATTGCACTCCATGGGATGAATGTTGGAAGACAGTGATTAAACTTAGAACTTTACAACTGGCAGAGAAATTAGGGAGAGATTTGGGAAAAAACTTCTGTAAGAATAAGATACTGTTATCTTTTACTCTCGATTATATGGGGCAGCTCCAAGTGTCCAAAAAGCACACTTTTTGTATGGTTAAGCAAACACAGTTTTGTCTGTATCTGAAAAACACATTGCTCTCCACTTGACATCAATATAATTAAGGGTGAGGAGAAAAATAAATCAACAGAGCCCCCATTTACACTGCCATATAAAATCCAGATTATCTGCTTTGCACTGGATTATATGGCAGTGTAGACTAATATAATCCAAAGCAGATAATCTGGATTTTATATGACTGTGTAGATGGGGCCAGAAGTGGAGTAACATGAAATCTCAGTTTGAATGCACATTTAACCCTGAATGTGCTGCAATGTTAAAAATGAAGCTCTTGGATTTTCAGCAGATTGGGGAAGTGTGGCTAATGAACAGCCTCCAGCCTTGCAACCTTTTCCCAATTTGAAAAAACAAATCAAGCAAAAATCTGTCCAATTGCACCAGGATGCCAATGGCACCAGCTAGTTTCCAGTTCAATGGGGCAGGGCATTCACTCCAACTTCCAATCCCAATTTTAACAAAATCATCCAAAGTACTGAATCCCATTCCTAGAATAATTTCAGCAGCATGAAAAGGTCCTTTAAACTTCAGAGTAAATCTCAGAGTAGATTCAGCTATCCCCTCTGACATGGAAGTCACCACTGCAGATGCACCCAAAAGGTGTGATTCACTCTTTATATATTTATGTTTCCCCATTGGAATTGCATTTCTCAGTCAGAAATGAGGAGAACATTTGCCCCACTTCTCTCAAGATTGTGGTGGTGATTGGGGGAGATCTACAAACACTCAACTACTCACCAGTTGTCCCTGAGTGATATATTTCTTCCACCAGAGATATGGGCGCATGGATGGAACAGCAGATAACCCATAGTAGGAATACATGAGGACATGAATAAAGCTGTTAAAAGTGGCACCAAAATAGGCTGTAAGTGGGAAGAAGAGAGATGGTTTTAAGATCCTTTGAAACAGCTTGCATTATGGCAACATGTTAAAAGTTAATACTCAATGAACCTGTAAAAGTGATAGTACAAAATTTTGGAACAAAACAAACCTTGTCATACTAGCGTAAGAACAAATGAATGCGAATTGCTGCAAATGGCACATATTGGCTGCCTAAGGTCACATCTGCCATTTAAAGTAGATGCAAGTGCTTTAAATAATGTTGTATGTTTTTTTCCCAAAGTGCTGTCACAGATAGCGTTTTTCTGAGGGTGGGATGAATTGCTATAATTCCATCTCATGTTGTTATCCCAATAACCATGTAGAGCAATGGTTCCCAACCTTTTTTGACCAGGGACCACTCTCCAACATTAGTACCAAATGGTTACGAATCAGTTTTTGATCAACTTTAGATTTAGTCTGGTTATTTGGGGTACTGGTTCAGAAAATTGCATTGGATAGACCACATCAGCTCTAGTTTATGATACAGAACATATGCCATCCAGTAGTTGCCATCTACTTGCCCACAGAAAACCATATTTAATAAGAATTGGTACTATAAGAGGGTTTTGTGAGACCAGTCACTCTCGTTGCAACGATGTAGTAACGGTAAGGCCCCAGACCATATTTTAATTCTTGCGGACCACTGGTGGTCTACAGACCACTCGTTTGCACCACTGATGTAGAGCCAGCCTGCAAAAATTGTCAGAGATGTTCATTTCCACTTTTACGGGGCTGCAGACAGAAGGGCATCTTCTGCCTATGAGTTAAATAAAGGTGGCAAGACATTTTTAGATCATTCTTTATTCATGGCTAGACTATTTGGGTTGGTGGGAGTTTGAATATCTGAAGAGCCATTGTTGCTCATCCCACAGTGTAAAACTTGTACCAAGACTGTATCTGCTGCTTTGCATTTAAATCAGTGCCACATCGTGGGCTCACAGCGACGTATTCGGTGCACGTTCTTCATCCAGCCAGGGCATCTAAGCCTTATAGATGTCTCCTTGGCTCTACCTTATGTTGAGTGAGGCAACCAAGACAGCAACATCATGGCAGCCCTGTGCTTTTTTTAGACCACCAACAGGAAAACAAGGCAGCATGGGCGTCAGTACAAGAATCAGCTTGTCAGTGCTCTGCTGTGCCCACGGGGAGCCACTGCCATGTGGAAGAGCTTCTCAGCAGCTACCACGTGGCATTCTTTGGGGAGTCTGCTGCCTAATTAAAACCAAAACAGCAACAACAGCACTGCAGGAGACAAATAGCTGAGGAGATGTAAAGCCAAGCAAAATAATGACAAGTAAGGAAGCATCAGTCAAGCTCTGGTAAGGCAAAGGATTTTTAATAGGGCCATTTTTCATTGCCACCTGTATAATGAAACCAGCTGAAAAGTGTCTTTCTGTCCAGAAATCAGATGGATCTAGCTTCACCAAATGTCAGTTTTGACTCTTAAATAATCAAAGTTGTGTATGTGAACATGGAGACTCATTAAGAAAACCCAAAGGTTTGTTGTCAGATATTCTGACAACAAATTAATATCAGGGACACAAAAACAACAATTGGCCAGAATGCAGGATCAGATTGACAGGTGGGTAATAGTGGATTCATATTCACAGTCCCTATATGAGAGAAAAATTCTGTTGGTGATTTGATGTGTTTGCATGATGTTTCTGCCCAACACACACCAGCCAATGAGGCTGTAACCGTTGCACTTCTTCGATGCAGCCTTTTTTGATGCTGGGAAGGGGGAATGTCTCAGCTGCCAGCAGAACGGACCTTCTCTCTGTATAGCTCAGTGGTTCTTAACCTGTGGGCCGCTGGTCTATGAGCCTCCTTCCTCTTTATTTCTTTATTTTATTTGTTTTATTTTATTTCCACTCCTTTCACACCACCTGCCACTCCTTCCCTGTTGCTGACCATTTCACATGTTCTGTATCAGAAACTAGAGCTGATGTGGTCTATCCAATACAATTTTCTGAATCAGCACCCCAAACAAAATTTAAAGTTTACCAAAAATTGATTCGTAACCCTATTGGTATAATGTCGGAGAGTGGTCCCTGGTCAAAGTGGTCCCTGGTCAAAATGGTCTCTGGTTAAGTGGTCCCTGGTCAAAAAAAGGTTGGGTACCACTGGTATAGTTGATGCCAAGTAAAGTGATGGGGCGCTATTTCTGGAGATGTTACTTAGCTTTGCAATTAAGACAGTTACATAAATATCAGATGTAGAATTCTGGCCACCATCATTGCAAATTTCTAAAAGATCTAACCTACAAAATCAAAAGCCTTCCTAGTCAAGTAAACATTCTCCTGAAAAGTCTATCCATATGCATAATAATAACACACAATCTTAAAATGAAATGAGCCCTATAAGAAATACATACAGGTATCTCCCCATTTTCCAAGAAGTATTGTAAGAGCAAGGAACCTCATCTCCTGGACTCAAATCCTATAATCTCAATCTGACATGGAGCAGAAGACATGACTGTATGGTCAGCACAGCTACCAATGCACTTATATATTCTCCAAGCTCTTATCTGGCCGTCTCTCCCATTCCACAAGCCTCTCCTTGAACTTAGTTTACTGCGGGGAGAGCTTTAAAGTGAGAAGCAAAAGAAAACATGGGGTATTTGAGGTCCCATCCTTTTGCCTTTGGCTCCATGCACCACTGCAATGCACCTCCTTAAACACACATTTGTTTTCTCTTGGGTCAAAAGTGTTTCCACATTTCAGAGTTGCAAAAATACTTACAGTGACCACAAGGCACCCAGTTCATAACAAACCACCAGATGTTCAACATAGTTGCATGATGGTAGACATGAAGAACAGTGATCTGGTGGTTATTTTTCCGTAATATAAAGAAGATAGTATCCATAAATTCAATGAGCTTCGAGAAGTAGTACCACCAGAGGACACGTATGATCTAAAGAGAGAGAAAAAACATTTTGGTTGTTTGCTCAACCAAGACAAATTTTGCTGCCCCCCTCCCCCAATACCACAAGATCCCAGTGATCAATTATAGCTATGAGACCATGTCTGCCAGAGGTGAGATGCTTCCATGCTTTGCTGAGAGGCACACAGCAGCAAGGAATTATGGAATTACAAGTTCAGTGACAGATCACTGAAGTAAACACAAGATATACAGAATCAGCCTCAGTATAACATGTACATGAGATACGAACCCATAGTTCTAACCCAATATTATATTTTCTACCTAACAGTAAGTCCAACCCTCTTTTCCAGATAGGGCCAAGTCTTTTTCTAATGGTCAAGCACCAACTCCTATGACAGTGGTTCTCAACCTGTGGGTCCCCAGGTGTTTTGGCCTACAACTCCCAGAAATCCCAGTCAGTTTACCTGTTAGGACTTCTGGGAGTTGGGAGGTCAAAACACCTGGGGATCCACAAGTTGAGAACCCCTGCCCTATGAAAATCTAGCTACTTCCACCCACTGCTGGAGTCCCACCTGAAGCAAGTGGCTTCCTCTTGCTGCATAGTAGACCCAGGCTCCTAAACCCATATATAAAACTCACTAGGCTGAATGCTTTCCTCAACAAAATACCAGGTGTGTTCATCTCTAGTACAGAGAACTGTGCAATTCATTACAAAGTTCTCAATAGGACCCGGAGTTACTGAGGGCTGTTGTTGTGATTTTTAGTTGGTGGTGGTGGTGTTAGTATTGCTTTTCTTTTCCTTTACATAATACACAGGTGGAACATGCAATGTTTCATGCAGAAAGTCGCTGATCTAATCTCTGGGAACGCCTGTTATGTAGGATAAGAAAGTTCCTGTCAAATCCTAGAAAACTTCCGCCAGTTGCTGCCTATGGCATTGCCTCAGTGGAAGCAATGCAACTCTAGGGAGTTTCTAAACCAATTTGCAATACAGTAAAGTGAGCAAGTCTGCTATTTAAAGTCATTGCTTCACTGGGTAGGACCAAGGTCTTGTGCACGCCTACAAGAGTTGTCTGGACAACAGCCATAAAGCTGGAGGTGTGACTAAACCAAAAGCCAGTCCTTTATATGCCTATTTAAGTAGGCCTCGGGTGCTTTGAGAGACACAAGGGAGATATTTAATCTCTATTCCCCTTTTGTAATTTCTGAAGAAGAGTGTGAGCAAGCAGAAGATACTGCCACTGTATTCCCTAAACGGAATGTGCTTTCTTCAGGCAGAAGAGAATAAGGCACAGAAAACTGTTGCTGTGAAAGAAGAGAAAGACTTTTTCAATAAACCTCAGGCAACTATCATGTGAAATGATTGACTGCACTGAATCCACAGATATACAACTATATGTTATCAGTAGGAACTCTTCAAACTGCAGTCTGAGACTATGGGGAGAAACGGAATTTAGAAAGGTAACTAGACATTGCGCATGTATAACACAGTACAACAGCTCATTTGAATTCGTACAACTTCCTCACAAGTTCCAGATAAGTCCTTTTTTGGCTCTTTGCTCCATTAGTTCTTGAGCCACTGTGCTATAACAGCTGGGCATATGAGAGGTTGGTTGCTCCCATGTCGGTGAAGCAGTTAATCTATCCAAATTTTAATCCAATTTTTAAATGTGTTATTTATTTATTTATCATATCAGGAGTGAACCATTAGTTGTATAGTATTTTAAAAAAACACAAAGTATTGTAGAAGGCTTTCATGGCTGGAATGCCTGGGTTTTTGTAGGTTTTTCGGGCTATATGGTCATATTCTAGAAGCATTCTCTCCTGACATTTCACCTGCCTCTATAGCAAGCATCTTCAGAAGTTGTGAGGTCTCACAACTTCTGTGGATGCTTGCTATGGATACAGGCGAAATGTTAGGAGAGGATGCTTCTAGAACATGGCCATATAACCCAAAAAACCTACAACAACCCAAAAAACACAAAGTTTGCAAACATGGCATTCTATTAAATGTCCTTTGACCAGTAGTTGGTCACTTAGAGTGCCTCTGGTGTTGCTATAAGGAGGTCCTCCATTGTGGCAGGGCTCAGACTGCATTGTAATAGGTGGTCTGTGGTTTGCTCTTCTCCGCACTTGCATGTTGTGAACTCCACTTTGTGGCCCCTATTCAACCTAGGTTCATTTTCATAGTTACACAAGGAGATGAGAAGCAGTCATAACTTTTTTTTTAAAAAAAGGGACATGGAGTGGAGTTGTCTCTAAGTGTTGATAGTGATATAAACAATTGTATGTGATCCTAGGACCATACTTTGCACAAGGCTGCCCTAGGAAAAACCCTTGCTTGTTATTGGAAAGACAGGGCACTGTTCTTCCAGTACAAAACACTGATTTTCCTGGGATAGGAAGACACCAGGGGTGTAGCTACCAGGAGTTGGTGATGGGTAGGTGAGAAATCAGGGCAGAACTCACAAAATTGTCCTTCTGTCTCCAATCACTAACATCACAGAGAATTTGACATTGAATTTTTTTGTTGTTGTTGGTATTGTGTACCTTGGAGTCACGTCTAAGTTATGGAAACCCTAAGACAAACCTATCACAGGGTTTCCATGGCTGAGGAGGGAACTGAACCACCGATCCAGAGTCATAGTCCAATGCTCAAACCACTGCAATGTGCTGGCTCATGCCTCAGAAATATTTTAGGACTATTTGCTCTGTTCATATTCTTTTGATAACTTGAACATTTTAAGTTTTTAAATTACTGTAAAGCTAGAAATTTGGGATCTGAAGGGAAATGTCATTGGAGAAGCAAATACTTATTGTAGGGGCAATTGCCTCAGTTTGCTCTCCTTGTAGCTACACCCCTGTAAATTGCAAAGAAGCTAACCAAGACCCTCAATTCGAGCCTTCCCAGAAAGATGTACTTGCTGTCTCTGCAATGCAGCCTCTTGTAATGGGCTTGCTTGTTCCTCCTCAGATTTAAAATATTGCTGCCGTGTTTGATCTAATTTTACCACATTCTACAATGAGCAGATACATTATGCATCTGTCTCTCCGTATTCTCCAGAGGGATATGGGAGATTCGGTTCCTTGTCTCTAGTTATTAATGTCCCTCCATTAAAAACTTGTCACAGGCAACTGTCAGTTAAATGTTTCATTAGAAGAGTTTAGTGCTATGATACAAAAGAATGGAAAATGAGGGAATTAAGTGATTAGGATTCACATTCTTTCATCAGCTATAATAAGTGGTGTAATTTTCAAGCAATATGGTTGGAATGAAGATGAATTAAAGATTGTGTCATATTTTAAAGCCCTATTCTCTCTCTCTTTCTCCCCCCCCCCCCCCCCAATTATAGGCTGACTTCAAAGTTGCTTTGCAAGAGGAATTTACTTATTGGACACTGACAGAGAAAGAAGTCTTTCTGGGACATTCAGGCGGGCTTGTGTAACATTTGGACTTTCACTACACTACGTTTGCCAACCCCCCTTCCTTGTTTTAATTAAGCATGATGCGGCACACTCATCGTGGTACACAAGACACAAATGAATATTCAAACATCCTAAACAGATGTTCCTTTTTAATTCCTGAAAATGTTCAAACCCTAAATTCCAAAAACATGAACCAAAATGCATAATACTTATGACTCAAGAAATAAATTACAGCAGTGCTTCTTGATCTTTCTAATGCTGCGACCCCATAATATAGTTCTTCATGTTGTGGTGACCCCCAACCATAAAATTATTTTCATTACTACTTCATAACTGTAATTTTGCCACTGTTCTGAATCGTAATATCTGATATGCATGAAGTATTTTCATTCACTGGACCAAATTTGGCACAAATATTCAATACACCCAAATCTGAATACTGGCGGGGTTGGGGGAAGGATTGGTCTTATCATTTTGGAGTCGTAGTTGCTGAGATTTATAGACCTTGACAACTTGAACAGCTGCAACTTGAACAGCTTTTATCTATATATTTGGTTTGATTTAAAGATACCGCACTACTATTCCTGAACAATTGTACTTTCTTAATTGCTTTTTCCTCCAAATGGCTCTCTCACGGCATTCAGGCTACCACATGCCTTTTCTCTGAGCGGCATTAATAGCAAGGAGTGTCTGTCCTTCCCGATGCAAGGTCTGTATTGACCTTCACTCTCAATGCAAGAGGCACAGCAAAACAGCAGCGTCAGCTCATAACATTACCTTCATATCAGCATCACCTCCACTGTGTGTATCCTGACAGAAGAAATTGTATCCTCCTTCCCACACTCCTGTCACCAACTGATGAGGAAAATAATAGTCAGCTATTAACATTATTGCATGCATTATTACATATTAAAGCTTATAAGATCTCTGGAATCAAGGAAATATAGTCTTATCCACAACCGGGGAGTTTTCACAGACATTACAAATGTGGAGGCAAAGTAGCAAATGACAGCAAATGCACCCCACCCACCCCGCTGCCCACAAATGCTTATTTGACTCTGGGTGACCATTATCCAAAAACCAGTCAAGTTTATTTTGGCACTTGAGGCTAAAACACCCACAAGAACCTCTTCCCATTCCAGTCAGTAAAAATAAAATCACAGAACCATAGTATCCTGGGACTTTGCAGCATCTGGACAGCTGGATTGGCTCCATTTTGGACACATCAATGGTCCAGATGGATATAACCTCCATCAGCCTTTTCTTGTGCTGATCAGCTCAAGAAAGGGGATGGCTCATTCCAGTGTTGTTGTTGTTCCTCACCAGCCATGGAGTTCTCTGCAAGGTCAGAATGGAGTATCCTCATGATCAAAAAGAAAGAGGGGATTGCTCTCCCCACTTCTTTCTGGTTGTGTGAGTACCCTAATGTGGCATCATATGCGAACATGATGGCCAGGTGCTCAATGAAAACTCCACTGTCAACAGGAGCAGCAACAGTGACTTTGGACCTCACCCCACAGATTCCGGCTCCATTCCCATGCACTTCAGAAATGGAATCCCACGGGAGTCCCATAGGGGCCATGACATGATGTAAGGGCACTTTTGGAGGGGCACCATGGGACTCTGTTTCTGCAGCACATGGACATGGAGCCCAGGATGTATTTTGAAGAGTCAAGTGCTACCCAACTCCAAATAGGAGAAAGATGGACCTCGACAGGGAAAGGATATGGGATGGCTGGCCACCCCAAAAGATGGACTTTGATGGGTGGGAACAGAGTAACTAGCTTGTTTTCTGCTGCCCTGGAGTCTAGGATGCAGAACAATGGCTTCAAACTACATGAAAGGAGATTCCACCTGAACATTAGGAAGAACTTCCTGATTGTGAGAGCTGTTCAGCAGTGGAACTCTCTGCCCCAGTGTGGTGGAGGCTCCTTCTTTGGAGGCTTTTAAGCAGAGGTTAGATGGCCATCTGTCAGGGGTGCTTTGAATGCAATTTTCCTGCTTTTTGGCAGGGGGTTTGACTAGATGGCTCACAAGGTCTGATTTTATGGTTCTATGGTTTTCTCAACTTTTCCCTGTTCATGAGATGAGGTCCACGGAGGACAAGGTGATAGCCCAGTAGGGCGGATGCAGTTTTCAGCCTGGCTAAACACCAAATATGGCATGACAGTGCCTGGTGGATCTTGCCACCGTCATGGTTGCTCCAGGGCCAGTCCACTGCATGATGCTCCAGACCAACCATGGGTTAAGTGGCCTTACGTTTAAATCCTGCTTCAGTCAAAATGACCTCCACTGAGTAACCCTAAAACAGTCCTTTTTAAACATTTTTTGTGAGGAAAACATGAAGGGCAATATGCTGCATGCAATCCTAACTCTTTAGAGAAATAGTGAGATTAAAAGGTGTCACAGCATCAAATAAAAACAACTGCCTTTTAACATGGATCTTAGTTCCAGGTTGGTGCACTTACTCCCACTAGTAATATTACATTATTTCAAAAACAAAAAGGAGAACTACAAATAAAGCCAGATAATCCCTCAATTTATTTATCTTTTCTTTTTTCCTTTTTGTATTACTAATGGAGCATAGCTGTAGCTCACAGGATTTCTACTAAACAAAAAAATTAGTAGAAACGTTGCTAGTACTATTTACTTGGCATGTTTTCCTTAGCAACAAGCTATAGTTGGCAACGCTTTCCATTCCAAACATTTAACACTACAAATACTTTTATATTTAAGATGAGAAAACTTAGTCAAACAGACATGGGAAACAAGGGCTAAACCATTCAATATAAATAAATAGAATAACTATTTTCTAAGGTTACATTGCTGCAACGACCTTGAATAGGTCACTCTTTCTCAACCTAAGAAGAATGCAATAGGAAACAACCCCTGAATATATATTGCTTAGAGGACCCCAGAATAAAGAGTCACAGTAAGCTGGAATTAACTTGAATGTGCAGAACAAGAAAAGCATGGATCCCACCACAAAGTCCTCTCCAACTGCCTGAAAGGGAGACATTAGCAGACATTAAGGTATTGCTAACTTTTTTAATACACTGCTGAGTCCAAAATTGTACCAATTTAAGTTAAGTAACAATTCCAGGCATTCCTTTGCTGTTCAGAGTAAACTAAACATCTGAAGAAGGAACCCATTCTCCTGAAGAGAGAAGCAATCTGCTGGACACATTTGTGCTAAGGCCAAAATATTTGATCTGGAATACATAGCGCAGATGCCATTATCTCACTTGAACACTGACTTTAACACAGTAAGCATGGTCAAGTGGAAAAGTAAATGCAGGCTAATCATCTCAGGAAAAAGAAAGTGCTCCTCTCATATCTGCTCAATTATTACAGCATTTCTCAAGTTACGTGAAGCATTAGATATGTTGTATTTCCAAGAAAAAGCCCCAGTTATTGTGGATTTATGTATGTTGGGTTGTGCAATTAACAATCTCTTCTGCAAAAGGTCCAGAGGGCAGTATCAGATAATGTACCTCTTTGAAGGTACAATTTCCAGAAATTCCCCTCCAAAAAAATATTTCCCTCATTTTGCCCCCTCCCACAGCTACATGCTGAAAAGTGAGGATGATATGTATATATATATATATATATATATATATATATAGAGAGAGGAGAGAGAGAGAGAGAGAGAGAGAGAGAGAGAGAGAGAGCAGGAATATATATATATATATATATATATATATATATATATATATGTATGTATATATACCTTTACCTTTCCCACTCTTAAACATATAGGAGAGGAGGGGGGTATACATAGTCCCCTTGGGGAGAAGGGACGGGATATAATTAAAGCATTATTATTATTATTATTATTATTATTATTATTATTATGTCCTGGGTTCCCTTCTCCCTTTGTGCTTCCCATACAGCTCAAAGAGCTATTAGATAGCTGTGTCTTTTCCGCATCCTGACCTGCAAGGAATAATAATAATAATAATAATAATATTTTTATTTGATAATTTAATTTTAATATTATAATTTTAATAATATACTTTAATTTAAGACTATTTTAAATTAATTTCTGGTGGACTCTGTACATTGATATTTATATTTTTGTTGTATATCATTTAATTGATAGGCTATTTTACTGTTATAATTTGATCTTAGATGTCTAGTTTATTTTGGGATTTGGGTGATTTTCTCTTTATTATATCTGTATTTATTGTTTATCAAGACATTGAAAGTTTGCCTTTTTGCATGCTGGAATCTGCCCTGAATCCTCTTGGAGACAGGACGGAATGCAAATCAAGTTGTTGTTGTTGTTGTTGTTGTTATATATGCAATCTACAAAAGTTTAAAGTTGATTTTGTAAACTGATTATTTTTCATATCTATCAGACGTATCTTGACCAAAGTGATCAATATGGGCTGGGCATTTTATTCCCCATACAAAAACCTAATCAGGCGTAATTTACCTGTTTATAGTTTGCCCATGGCAGGTGGCGGATCTGTGCCTGCCAAACCTGCCCTTGAGGGCATCTTTCCTCCTCATGGCAGCAGTTGCCTTTCAATGGGATTCATAAAAGACTGCAGCTTTTTGATAAGAGTCCACAAGCATGTAATCCAAAAACAACAACTGAGTTTAAATTCAAAGATGACTTGTTTGCTAACAAATTTGGCTGTGCTCCAAGACTGGATGGCATAAAAGAAAAGGAGTGGCAAAGGAAAATAGTGTGTAGGTTATTTTACAAGTAAATGAGCATTATTCTAGGCTATGGCTTGCTACTCTGAGTTCTTATTCTAAATGCTTACTCAGAGTAGCCTGTTGAATTTCAGTTGTTACTCTATAGCAGTAGTGGAACTGTGGAGCCCTCCAGGTATTGCATTGCAAATTAACAGCCCCTGGTCAACATAGCAAACTGCACTTCTGCGACTTCTGAAGCATAGCAGAATTCACACTCAATATCTCTGAATAAAACATTTTAACCAATGACTTTGACCACAACAGTTTTAAAAGCTGCAGATTTTCAAACATCTCCATGCTGATTCACTCTTTCATCCATTCATCCCTGCCTATCTAATTTATTCATCCATCTATCCCATCCCATCTTTCTTCCAACATGATGTCTCTATTTATCACTTAACAGCAATCATTCCCAGAAAGGAATAATGAACAGAAACATGCCCATTCCTTGATCTCCAATCAAAAACTTTTGGGTAGTTGTTCTAACTGCCCCCTTTGTTTGCGTTTGAGGTGCCGAATATCTATTGATGATCCAAGAAAGATACAATCTGAGCACCCTTGATCCAGAATTCCAAAATCAAAAATATTCCAAAATCCATAATTGTCCACATGAGTGGCTGAAAGAGTGACAACTCTGTGTCATTCACAAACTGATTATAAATACCTTTGGGTGTTGTGTTTCAGCTCTGTATATGAAACATAAATGAAATTTGTGTTTGGATTTGTGTCCCATGTACAAAATATTTCACTGTGTTCATTTATGTAAACACAAAATCTATCAGGGGGATCCAAAATCCCAAACACTTTTGGTCCCAAGCATTTTTGATAAGGAAAACACAGCCCACTATCATCAGATGTCACAGTGATCCAATGATTATTATGCATGGTGAAAGTAGCATTAGTCAGACCCCATACAATCTCAGTTTATTTATTATTACTGAAGTATTTGCAACATGTCCTATTATCCAGGTATTCAGCATACACAGATTTCTGCTGCTGAACTTGATAGATCTTCAATAGGGAGGTATATTTTCCCAACCCTGCTATACGCCTGCAAAACATGGACTGTCTACAGATGTCACACTAACTTTTGGGACGATTTCATCAGTGTTGCCTTCAAAAAATCCTGCAAAAATCCTCTTGGGAAGACAGGTGGACAAATGTCAGGGTGCTGGAAGAAGCAAAGACGACTAGCATTGAAGCGATGCTCCTATGCCATCAACTCCACTGGACTGGCCATATTGTTCAAATGCCCAATCACCATCTCCCAAAGCAGTTACCATACTCCCAAGAAGGAAAACATAATGTTGGTGGACAGGAAAATAGATTAAAAAATGGGCTTAAAGCCAACCTTAAAAATTGTGGCATAGACACTGAGAACTGGGAAGCCCTGGTCCTTGAGCGCTCTGGCTGGAGGTCAGCTGTGAACAGCAGTGCTGTGTAATTTGAAGAGGCACGAATGGAGGGGGAAACATGCCAAGAAGAAGGCATGTTAAGCCAACCCTGACTGGGACCATCTTCCACCTGGAAACTGATATCCTCACTGTGGAAAAATATGCAGGTCAAGAATAGGGCTCCACAATAACCTACATATCCACCATCCAGACATTACACTTGGAAGACCATCATACTCAGGCTATGAGAGATTGCCTAAGTAAGTAAGTAAGTAAGTAAGTAAGTAAGTAAGTAAGTAAGTAAGTATAAGACTGTACAATCACAAGAGCAGTTTCCTGCTATCTGGGCAAAGATCAAGTCCTCTCCAACAGATGCAGAAGAGTATAAGTAAGTTACATTCATTGAAAGAAACTGGCTTTATTGGAATGAGGAAAAAAACACACAGGAAAATTCATTTTTTGAGGATGAAAATTCAATTGTTTGCACTTGCAGAAAAACGACTGCCACAAGTATTGAACAGGTAAATAGATGACAGACCCCAAAGAAAATATGCTATTTCCCCCTTTCTTACCTCATAGAACATATACAAGGACAGCAGTGTAAGTCCAATATTATAGATGACTAGAATGCCCCTGCAGGAAAATGGCGGTCTCTTCTGCATATACTTTGGTCCTAACCATACGATTAATAAGTACAAGACGGAGAAAATGAAAGTTGGCGTGTAGTTGGTCAGGAGAAGCCATCCTTTTACTCTGGGATCTGAAAAAGAACACATGTTTCATTAACTATACCTAATGTGACATAACAGCAATGTAACTGTATGGATTTGACTCTCCTGTAAGAGAAGAAAGTGGGATAAAAAATAGAGGGAAGTGGTGCAAAGTTTATGGAAACACAAAAGGAAAACTTGGCAAAGTTACTTTAATTGAGACTTGTTTAACTTGGATTGCCTGAAAGATTAAGGGAGATGCAGGGTTTTTCTTTTAAAAAAGGAGTTCAACCAAACTCTTTTTCAAATTTTGGCACCTGCGTGCCAGAATAATGGGGTCTTATAACTTCATCCCATGCCAGGATTTTCTTTCCCTGCTGCCGATCTTCAGCCAGGCCTTAGCAACAAAACCCGAAGGAAAAATAGCTGGTAAATACAGTTAGAAAGGGTAATTGTTCTGAATTATGCAATCCCCAAACCCAAGTCGAGAGGTTTTATTTAACTGTACTGTTGCTATGGGTAGGACAACTAATTGCACTCCCTTCACAAACTGCTGTTCCCAAAGGAGCATTTGATACCCCAGTCTTCATATTTATCTTTCAAATCCTGATGCCAAAGGCTTCTGCTCCAATTTACTTTTCATTCTCTCTTTTCAATTAACTTCCCTCTCCACCCACCTTGTTGCTGCTTTGTGATTTTAAATACAAGGGATTTTACGAGGGACAAGCTGCCCAACTCCCCATTTAATAGTCAAACTCACAGTCTGACTTATTTTGATACTCTTAAAACTGCCAGGCTTCTGGCAAAATAATGAATCTTCAAAAAGATTACTTTTCTAAATAGGTCTGGACTCTCTTGTTTGCAGAGCTCTTGGAGCTCTTAGGTTTTACTGACTTGGGTGGAAAAGCAATTGTACTTTGGACATTCATATTTTTTAACTGAGGCTTGGGGCCCAAGCCTCCGTTAAAATATTAACCAAGACTTAAATATTTTTAATTACCACTCATTGGGTGGCAGAGTTAACCCTTAAGTACATTTAGGCTGGCTCTACAATGTAGAATGAATGCAGTTTGATACCACTTTACCTCCCCTGTTATAGAATCACAGAGTTGTAGTTTGATGAAGCACTGGCACTTTTTGGCAGAGAAGGCTAAAGATCTTGTAAATCCACAACTCTCATGAGTCCATAGTAAGGTAAAGATAAAGGTTTTCCCCTGGCATTAAGTCAAGTTGTGTCCGACTGCGGGTTGATGCTCATCTATATTTCTAAGCTGAAGAGCCGGCATTGTTCATAGATGCCTCCAAGGTCATGTAGCCGGCATAATAATAATAAATAATAATAAAACTTTATTTATATACCGCCCTATCTCCCCTAGGGGACTCAGAGCGGTTTCCACATATGCAAAATAATACAAAAACATACAATAAAAAACATAGACACAAACTATGAACACAACATATACTGTACATTAAAATCAATTTCAAACCAGTTCCACTCTCATGACTGCATGGAGCACCATTACCTTCCCACTGGAATGGTACCTATCGATCCACTCACATTTGCATGTTTTTGAACTGCTAGGTTGGCAGAAGCTGGGCCTAACAGCGGGACCTCACGTTGCTCCCTGGATTGTGGATTCGAATCTGCGACCTTTCGATCAGCAAGTTCAGGAGCTAAGCAGTTTAACTCACTGCGCCACGAGAGGCTTGTCCATAGTAGGCATGGGCAAACTTTGGCCCTCCATGTGTTTTGGACTTCAACTCCTACTGGCTGTTAGGAATTGTGGGAGTTGAAGTCCAAAACACCTAGAAGCCAAAATTTGCCCATGCCTGGTCCATCAAAGCATTCCTAACAGATGGCCATCCAGCCTCTGTTTAAAGACATCCAAAGAAGGAGCCTCCACTACACTGTTGAACAACTCTGACAGTCTGGAAGTTCTTCCTAATGTTCAGGTGGAATCTCCTTTCCTGTAATTGGAACCCATTTGGATCCTAATGCATGAGAATTAACCATATGACACTATGGAGGCCTCCCATGCCATCAGGTCGAACTAGCCTGCTCTGACCAAGAATTGTACAGTTGAAAGAGACTACAAGGACCATACAATCCAATGCTTGCATTAAATCCACTGGGTGACCTTGGGTAAGTCACACTCTCTCAGTCTCAGAGGAAAGCAATGGCAAACCTCTTCTGAACAAATCATGCTAAGAAAACCCTGTGATAAGGCCAGAACTGACTTCAAGGCACACAACCATAACAAAGCTTCTGTCCTGATAGGCAACAGTCCTTCAAGATTCTCAGCACAACCCTTTTAAATGGGTAAACCAAGAATTAATAGTTACAAATTCTATGTGCTGCCACTGAACTACACCACCTAAAAGATAGGTTCAAATCTTTTTCAAAGAACGTAATTTATTTGGATTGTATCCACAATTTAACATCTACTAACTAAGGGGTAATTTCAGTATTTGCAGTTCCAACTGTGGCTATAAAACTGATAAGTTGTTTATGACTCTATTGACTGATTGAGATTTTGAGCATGGCAGTAATACGAACGGGCTTCTTATGCAAGTATTTCCATATCAGCAGTGAATACCGGTACTGTACAGCATTTTGACCTGTAAAGCTGAAATAACATGTGGACTCACACTGTGTGCCAACTAGGCTCAGCCAACCAACAAAGAATGAGGTCAGTGAAGGTTTCTAAGAGTTTGAACAAAGGATGTGTAACACAAAGACATACACATACATGCACACAGAGCTCACACAGTACACTGAGCAACATCCACAGAGACAGAAAAGCAGACATTCTGTAATTTATTATGTTATTGTTTGTGTTTTTTACTTCTTTTATTGTATTGTGTTGTAGGGCTTGGCCTCATGTAAGCCACCCCGAGTCCCCATTGGGGAGATGGTGGCAGGGTATAAATAAAGTTTATTATTATTATTATATGGTTAAGGAAGCTGTGACCTTCTACCTGACGGATTACAACTCCCACCAGTCTCTCTCAGCAATCCAAGGAGTCCTTTTGAGTAACATAGTGGATTTAGTGCAATGTAACAACAACAACAACAACAACTTTATTTTTGTATCACGCCTCCATCTCCCCAAAGGAACTTGGGGCAGCTTACATGGGGACAAGTCTGATCAACATAGTTTAAAATATAACACAATAAAGTTCAAAAAACAACATTATAAAACAATATAAAACAGACAACATCATAACACAGTATAAAAACAACCACTGAGGAAACAAGCAATAGCCTGATATAGTAAACAGTTTCTGGGCTTGGGCGGGCAGGTACAAATTGGTTATAAGGACAGGGCTAATGGATAAAGTGCAAAAGCCGGATGACAAAATTAGGAGTAGAGGGCAGTATGAAGTAGAGCACTAAATCTATGGCTAAGGGACCAGCAGTAAAGTGCAAGGAGATCTTGGGTCATAGCTGGGGGCTAAAATTGTCTGGGGAGCTGTCTAATCAAAAGCACAGTGGAACATCCACGTTTTTAGATCTTTACGAAAGGTGGACAGGGTGATGGGTGCTGGTCTAATCTCACTGGGGAGAGAGTTCCAGAGCCGGGGGGCCACCACCGAGAAGGCCCTTTCTCTCATACCCACCAACCGCGTTTGTGACATGGGTGGAAGTGAGAGGAGAACCTCCCTAGAAGATCTTAAAGATCATGCAGCTTCATAAGGGAAGATGTGGTCACGAAAATAGGGAGGTCCCAAACCATAAGCTGTTCAATTATGGTGTGGTGGTTTGAATGGTGGACTATGACTTTGGAGATCAGATTTGAAATCCCCACTCAACCATAAAATGAATTGGGTGACCTTGGGCAAATCACACACTCAGCCTCAGAAAAAGGCAACAACAATCCTCTTCTGAACAAATCTCATGACTGGTTCATTTTAGCATCTCCATCGGTCGGAAAGAACTTGAAGGCACACAACACCAACAAGCTGCTCCCTCACTATGCCAATTAACATTGTTCCAGGTAGTTCTGTCTGTATTCAGTTTGTATCAGCTCCTTTTTTTAAAAAAAATTAAAAATTATATGACACTTTTAAAAATGATAAGATTAGTTAAAATTGAAATGCAGCATTTATGGGGTAGAAGCGTCATATTGCTGAATTCTAATAAAAGTCCCAGAAAGTTTTATTTTTACCAAAGCACTGAAATTCTATCATATGCCTGGTAAACGTACAGAAATATACTGTACATCCCTTTTCAAGGGAGCAATGCATAAATATGCACTGTGAAATACATCCCAATACTTTTACAACTGAAGAAGGGTGGGCAAAAGGATGCCCTGTAGATCTCTTCAGATTGCCGCTGCCAGCTTTCCGCACTAGAGGTCATGTGAGCTTCAGCTGATGGGAATTGTACTCCAACAACATTTGCAAGACTAAAGCTTTCCCACCATTGATCTAGACCCCAAATAGCCAAGTCATTTTCAAAGTACATACCTCTTGGACCAAACCAAACATCCAGATAGCGATTGATTGTGTTATCCAAGGATTCCATTGTTCACCCTAAAAAAGAAAGAGAAAAACAGTTATTTTACCTCTTCTTCTATAGCAGGGCTTCCATCAGTATTTGCTTCAAAGAAATCTGATATTAGACCAATATTCTGAATCTTTTCATTTTGTTGCAACACATGCAGAATATTGAAAAGGCGAGAAGAATCCACCATTTAGTTATACACTTTGCATTTCCAAAGATTTAATATACACAAAGGATCTATGCTAACATAAACCTGTTTTAGAAATGGTGCCCTGGTGCTCTTTTATTTAATAACAGAAGAAGGTTAAAGGTTCAGAGGGAATTCCACAAATGTTAGATTACAAAGATATAGGCTTATAAAATGAGAGTTTATTATGTTAATTTACAATTTAAATATATGTGAGCATATACTTTGAGCTATAAATCTGAAATTATCACCCATTCACTAGCTGTGAACAGAGGGAAAGCCATGCATAAAGAGGAAAAATACTACGTTGAACAGGACACAGAAATTCACATATTGAATACTGTCACAATAGTCTAAAGCAGGCATCCCCAAACTGCGGCCCTCCAGCTGTTTGGGCCTCCAACTCCCAGAAGCCCTGATGAGGTTGTTCAATTGTTAGGAATTCTGGGAGTTGAAGTCCCAAACAGCTGGAGGGCCACAGTTTGAGTTTGCCTGGTCTAAAGCATCTTGAAAACAAAGTCAACGTACAAACAAAGGAGCAAGTGCAAGCAGTTTCCAGTTGAATACTGAAAACAAACCATTTCTGCAAGTCATAGCCTGAGATAAAAACAGTAGTAACTTGTTTTACAACTAGCTGTGACTGCACAGGAAATATTTTTTATATAATGTAAGAAGAAAGTCTTTCAAGCAGATCTGTTACCTCCCAATTACAAATAGTAATGATTCACTTTTCTGTATTTTTTTTTAAATAGTGAATAACAGAACCTTAAAATAATTCAACAGTTCATTTAACTGAAGGCTACAAATTGTCAAAGGGAGAGGGCAAGTTGCCTAAATCCTTTAGACAAGGAGTAAGTACAGACGAAAGTCCAAGAACCACTCTCCAGAAATACACACACACACACACACACACACAGAGAGAGAGAGAGTTATAGAATGTATATCTTGGAGGAAATACACAAAATAATTGTAAGTACAAATGTCACGGAGACATACTTGAGAATACTGCTTACAAAAAAGGTGTATGTCAGGAGAAATGTTGACGACATTTGAGATGTAATGGGTAAGAGCTGGACTATGACTCTGGAGACATGGGTTCAAATACTCAGTGATCCATGGAAAACAAGGTGATCATGGGCAAGTCACACCTCTCATATGAAGGAAATGCAAACCACCTCTGAGCAAATTTTGCCAAGGAAGCTCCCATTGGGATTGCCAAAATCTAGAAATTACTTGGAGGCAACAAACAATAAGGAGTCATTTGGCACAATGTGCCCAATGGCATAGACAATGCAAAACAGGAGTGTCTTGTTGCCTGCCATAAACTCAGAATAGAACTAGTCTGATCTCCTTTGGGAGGCAGTTCCAGGGTTTGTCTACACTGCTTGAAAAAAAACAAAAAACCATATAACATTTGCCAGGTCTGCATTGACTCTGACATCAGCCTAGCTTCATGCAGTGAAATACATAACAAGGCCTCTGTTAATGATTTTAGATTTTGGGGTAGGCTCTTAAATGCACAATTATATGGTTAATTTCTGGCAGATGGTTCCAGGTCCCCCAGTACAATTCCACGCAGAAGTTTCTGGGTCCTCCAGCACAATTTTATGGTCAACGTCTGGCAAAGGGTGACACAGAATCATGTTGGAGGACCTTGAAATGCTCAGACAAGTGTTTTTAAGGAGGGGGGACTGAGCCATATTAATGGTTTTTCTACTTTTATGGGATCCTGCACCCCTAAGCCAAACAAAACATGAAGTTTGGGTGTATTTAAGAGAACAGAATACAGTACAATTTACCTCTGACCTGGGTTTGTCTTGCTTTGAACCACCCAAAATGTTCCTTGACCCTCAGGGTGTTCAGAGAGGCAGCGGGAGAGAGATCACTACAAACTCTGTGATTGCTTTGTTGCTGGGTTATGCCAGTTTTGCCTTGACCACATCCTGTGATATACATGTCCCTGGGAGTTCTTTCATTTGCCATTTTCTTTTTCAATCAGAAGACTCTACATAATTTCCATCATCTTCCAGCAGATAGAACTGATGGGTGGGTGGTAAACTGTTCAAGGACACAAACAATACAACCCAGGAACATGTAAAATATGTTGCTACTTTAGGGCAAGAATGTATTCCTGGAACATTTGGAGAGAGGAGTATTTGTTCATTTATCTTCTCCTCTACCAGTATCCTTTTTTAATGATTTCATAAGGACCTATAAAGCTGGATGGGATAACAAATGGAAAATAGAGGTCCACCTAAGGCCAGTATCACCTGTTCTGCTCTGCCCAACAAAGCCTCCTTCAGACAATAGACTTCTTATCTTGTTTGCCTGAGATCTACAGCCAGTCTCCAAATTCTGAACAAGATAGGTTATTTAGGTTTGTTCTTAGGCTGAATTTGTTTGTAAGTCAGAACAGAAACATTTTTAAGTGTGACTCCAACCATATACACACACACACATGCGTGCATAAGATTTGGCCACCCCTGTGCTCAAGATATCTCGCATGGAAAATGCACACACAATTTAATGATGCCAATTATCACACAGCTACAATGCATTGCATATTATTATTGGACATAAGTCAATGCAAAAGTAAATTCTATTGATTCAATGAGTCCCTAACACATTGTAACATATTGTGACAGCCCCAAGGTTCACCTTAGAAGTGTCATAAAATAAAGATGATTTGTGGGGATACAACATCAATAGAATGGCTTTTAGTAATACAGCAATTACAAGCAGACACTAGCAAAAGCTAGAAAAGTTGACATTTTATCCGTATATCCATATCCCAAATTAATCCATTGGGTTTTTTAAAAAAATGGTCAAGGTGAGGAGAAAAGAGTCATATCTGCATCAGTCAATGCCAGAGCTTGGGAAAGTTATTTTCCCATGATACGTTGGCTAAGGAATTATAGAAAAACAAAAAATAACTTTACCAAGTCTTGGCCAAGATGCTTGTTTTATTCAATTATTTTACGGCATAACAAGTGAAGCTACATATGGGACACTAAGCAGTGCAACAGACATTAACCTATGGGTGTGTGCATATGTATACACGTGTTTGAGATAGAGAGCATATAAGTGAAGGAATTTTCTAATAGCAGTCAGGAATCTGTACACACGCTAGCAAAATGGATGCAAGATGTTCCAGACAACAAGCCTTCTTCATAGGGGAACATTGGCCACAATGCAGGAAAATGCTTCAAGGACTATTTTAATGTGTTTTATCCTAAGCTATATGTCTTTTAATATATGGGTTTTAAGCATCTTATATTTTCATCTATGTTTTAACTATGTTGTACTCTGCCTTGAGAAGTTTTGGGTAAATAATAATAATAATAATAATAATAATAATAATAATAATAATTATTATTATTATTATTATTATTATTATTATCTGAAATGCATCAAACCCTAAATATTCCTCCACTTCTCATCATCTGGAGTTTTCTTCTGGCTTCCCCCTACTTATGATTTTTTAGATCATGTCAGAAGCAAACTGAGAATATAGTGCAAGTCACTTCTGGTGTGAGAGAATTGGCAAGGATATTGCCCAGGGACAACCAGATGTGTTACCATCCTGTGGGAGGCTTCTCTCATGTCCCCGCATGAGAAACTGGAGCTAACAGAAGGGAGCTCACCCCATCTCATGGATTTGAACCACCAACCTTCAGGGTTTCAGGTCATCAGTTCAGCCAGCACAAGGGTTTAACCCATTGTGCCACTACGGTTCCCTCCTACTTAGGATGCAACAATAACAATAGCAATAACAACAATTTTAATGTATTACTCCTCTCTTTTTGGCTGGCAGAGGGGCACAACACAGTCAAATACATATGTAAAATCACACATAAAAACATAGTTATAATGCAATCATAAAAGCATATATTTTAACTGGTGCATATTAAAATACATGACACAATCCTGGCTTATTTATTGGGTTTAATGCTTGTATAATAGAAACTGAATTTATAGTCGGCCTTCCACATTTGCTGGGGTTAGAAGCGGAAGAACACACGCACACCCCAAAGTGGGGGAAAAACCCACAATTTTAAAAAGCTATATATTTTTTAACCTGAGAGAACACTTTACTGGGCATCTCTAGGTCCTCCAGAGCTACTGTTTGGTTGGAAGCTAACCATAGAATCACTCTGGAGGACCAACAAATGCCTGGAGTCATGCTGAAGGCCAAGAGATTCTCAGAGAGAACATATGGATCAAATTTTCAAATAATGAAATTCACAAAAGTAAAACCTGCAAATCTGGAGGGCCAATGGTGTTGTATTTGAACAAATGCATTTTATAGGACATACATAAAACTAACTGAATATCAAGGCTTCTTTTCTCTTTGTAATTAGTTTTCCATAGAAGTTGGACTCCCAGAGTTACTGACTTGCTACCTGACTGTCTGGTTAATCCTTCTGTTGGCTGATACTGAATCCGAGTTACAGTTGATCTGGTTTAGGTAACAAGGTCATGGATAATGGAATAATATTCTTTGGTGTAAATATATATTGAACATTGCAGTAGTTGTCTAAGATACAGTCTGTATTCAAGTCTCTTTGTGGCTCTGCTCTTAGCAACTGGAATACATTTTTACAAGAAGAAAGGCAATATATTAGCATTATTATTCTTTCATATGAAATAACACAAATGCTTAGCATAGGTTTCCTGCTAAAACTTCCCTCGCAAAGCTCAGTGCTTTTGTAATATAATCTTTGTTGAAATGATATCATGTAGTAATACTGGAAAAGTAAGTTAGAAATGAACAGTCCCAATGTCAATATGAAGAATGCACAGAAACAAGGAAATGATTCCTGTTTTTATTTCTTTTTTCTT